TACAGTTTGTAGATAAATAATTTAAATAGTAAAAGCATGCGCTGTAAACAGGTATCTGCAATGTTTAAACACCTTAAAAGTTGTGTATACAACTTCATGACACTTCTAGATCTGATGATCAATCATGTTTTTATTTTCGTTGTTATATAGCTTTGAAATGATAAGGGGTCAAAATTCTAAATAAATCAAACCGGTTACAGGTAGGTATTTTATTTCTATACAGATGGGTGTAGGTAGCACAAGGTCGTTGGTGGTTATTTTTAGGTTATGGAGTTGTTTAGAGTACATTAGGCAGTCACTTATACTGACTGTAAGAGTTTTACCTTGCAATTTGCGGTTTAGCTTATGCCAATGAATTTGAAGAGAAAAATAAATGCGAAACGTAGTAAAGTATAAAAAGAATATAATAAATGATAAAATTGTAGAGCAATAATGCTGTTTTCAATTACTTTCTCGGAAAAATTCGGTTCTTTAAGGGGTAACGCCACTTTAGCGGTTGGAAAAAAGGTGATTTTCGGGAATTCTCATCAAGGAACAATCAACGACACCTTTTTTTCAGAGGGCTGTGTGGCTGATGGAAAGGTTTCTTATTAATGGATACTCTTGGAACAAAAACACAAAAATTTTCTGATATTATATCCCCAACAGTTAGGAACAGAACTAGAATATTGCTCGGTGATATGGTCACCAGTATATACTAAATATATCGAAGCGCTTGAAAGGGTGCAACGTCAGCTGTCTAAATTCTTACCATTTAAAGAGGACAATACCTATCCTCCAATTGGATATTCTCGAGAATTGCTTCTTCGAAGATTTGAAGGCAATTCTCTACTTGTTCGTCGCAATATGCATTCTATAATATTTTTATTGAAAGTAATTCATTGACGTACCCGAATTATTACATAGAATAAATTTTATCATACCTAAAACCTTCAGAAATCAAATTAAAGTGTTTAAAACGTTCTACTTAAAAACAGCCAATAGTAATATATTACATTATTCTCCTTTCTACAAGATGTGTAGAAGTTATGATCTACTGTACACTTTTATAGATATGTATATTTAATTCAAATGTTAAACATACAGTCATTGAAGTTTTTCACCTCCGAATTATTTGAAACTGAACCGATCGACTTGAAATTTGGCAGATAGTTAGAGAAAAGGCCAATGAACATTAGTGACCGGGGGTGGAAATTTTTTTTTCATGAAAAAAATGCTGGAAATCGATAGAGAATCAAATTTTGAGCAAAAAATATTCGAAGAATTTTTTCGAGAAATCAATAGTTTTTTAGTTATTCATTATTGAAAACTTAGAATTTTGAGGGAAAAAAAACNTTGGCTGATAGATAGAGAAAAGGCCAATGAACATTAGTGACCGGGGGTGGAAATTTTTTTTTCATGAAAAAAATGCTGGAAATCGATAGAGAATCAAATTTTGAGCAAAAAATATTCGAAGAATTTTTTCGAGAAATCAATAGTTTTTTAGTTATTCATTATTGAAAACTTAGAATTTTGAGGGAAAAAAAACACTTTTTCAAAGTATTTTTCGCGAATAACTCAAAAACTACGCATTTTATTAAAAAAAGTGTAATGAATAATGAATTTTACATTAATATTGGTAATAGTTTATAATAGTTGAAAATGGCAAAAGTAAAATATTCTTTCATAAACAATATAAGGGAATTTTTATATTAAATTATTGCACAATTATAGCATTCCAAGATTTAAAACGTAATTTTTTATCATTTTTTTAGCACAGGGGTGATTTATAAGGGTTGAAAAGTGTTATGAGATGCAAATTCTTTCATAAGCAATGAGGGAATTTTTATTTTAAATAATTGCACCGTTAAAGCATTCCAAGCTTTTAAAAAGTATTTTTTTTATTATTTTTGTCAATACAGGGGTGGTTTATAGGGGTTGAAAGAGAAAAATTCTTTTATTAGCTATATGGTAACTTTTATTTTAAGTAATTGCACGATTTAATCATTCCAAATCTTTAAAAAGTAATTTTTTATCATTATTTTTTGCATAGGGGTAGTTTTTAAGGGTAAAATAAAGGGCCGAAAAGATCAAATATATCATAAAACATGTTCGAGAACATGAAGCATTATTTAATCTTTGTGCTTGAACAAGATTTTTATCAATAAAATACTTAAAACTTATTTTTTCAATTTTTTTCACTTAGGGGTAGTTTTTACCCCTAAAAAACAAAAAGCGTCAATCGGGCTTATGTCACTTTTGAACTTGAGCCTAAGATGAGCCTTATTCTAAATTTTCATGCAAATCCATGCAGTTTCAAAGAATTCGGAGGATACAGCTGTACTAAAATCAAAAAAATTTGTTTGTCCTTACCCCACGCTTCTTAGTTTGTATCTTTTGTATTGTAATATGTACGTATGTGTGTATAAATTGTATTGTTATTCAAAAATGTGTATATTGATTTGTAAATGCATGATATACTGGACATATTCATTTGTTGTGACATCTTACTTTTTTTTTGTTTTAATTAATTTTATTTTCTGACACAACTTTCTTAGATGCATTTTTTGCTTATTGTTTTACCTATATATTATGTATTTTTGTTGTATGGCCTGTTTATATTTATATTTTTTTTTCTTCTCACTATCCTGTAATTAGGACTTGTTCCTGTCTAAATAAATAAATAAATAAATAAATAAATAGTCGTCAGAACGACATAAAAAACAATTTTTTACATTTTTTTTTAAAACTATGACAACAAAGTAAGTATAATCTTATCACTGAATTCGTTTTTAGGAGGGCTATCTCTTTATACTATAAAATATAGAGCGTCCTATTAAAAAAAAATGTCGGTAATGTTATAGATCTGTCAAACATTGCTCAAAAAAATTTAAAATATTGCAGTAAAGTGACAGTTTCTATTTATAGTCCAGTTGGTAGAGGTTGGGCGTGTGTCAAACCTTGATAACCCGGAAATAACTACACAGGTCTACTTTAAATGATGAGTACAATAACAGGCTAATTTGCTGACAAAGTATTTTATCAGGAAAAAAAGTTATTAACAATTTAATCGTGAAAAAAAATTTTTTTAGTAGTTTTCTTTAAATAACTCAGCGGGATGACTTTGTACGAAAAAATGCTTAGGACATGATTTTGTTCGTAATAAAAATAGCTACAAAATGGCGGTGGTCCGATTACGAAATTTGCAATAACAAAGCCGTGAGATTGAAAAAACGGTATAAAACGCCAATTTTTTTAAGTTGCTGTAAAAATGTCAATTATAAACAAAAAGTGATAAAACTTTCGAAAACTATAGTTCAATATATATACAATAATGACGCTAAAGCCGAAAATCAGGAGAGCAAAACTTTTTGTTCTATAAGGTGTTATACATTCATCGGCATCTGAAACTCGAAACTTTGCCAAATTTGTTCGAAGCTTTGCTGACACTTGAAATTTGGTACACACATAGTGTAAATATGCAGAAACCAAAAGCAATTTGCAAAATTCAAGTATCTTCATTTTTGCAGTTTTGGTAAGGTTTTATACGTCACCCTAGTTTTATACGTCACCGTTTTTTTAATTTTTGGACGTATATTTATGTATATTTATAAAATATTCCATTACGGTAGATTAGCCAGCATAATTACCTACAATTTAAAAAAATATATATTTTCATCGTTTAGATCCTAAGCTACTTAACATTTTGCGCCTGTTAGCCGTAGTCGTACATTATTCAACATATTAACATAAAACAAAATCGTACGTGTGGGGTAAACCTTTAACTTTAAGTAAACAATTGTTTAAATTTACTGTTGCATATTTCTAATAGTATACAAGCGCCGAAGAGCGGAGCTCGCGCTCGAAAATGAAAAGTTAAAGGTTTACCCCACACGTACGATTTTGTTTTATGTTAATATGTTGAATAATGTACGACTACGGCTAACAGGCGCAAAATGTTAAGTAGCTTAGGATCTAAACGATGAAAATATATATTTTTTTAAATTGTAGGTAATTATGCTGGCTAATCTACCGTAATGGAATATTTTATAAATATACATAAATATACGTCCAAAAATTAAAAAAACGGTGACGTATAAAACTAGGGTGACGTATAAAACCTTACCAAAACTGCAAAAATGAAGATACTTGAATTTTGCAAATTGCTTTTGGTTTCTGCATATTTACACTATGTGTGTACCAAATTTCAAGTGTCAGCAAAGCTTCGAACAAATTTGGCAAAGTTTCGAGTTTCAGATGCCGATGAATGTATAACACCTTATAGAACAAAAAGTTTTGCTCTCCTGATTTTCGGCTTTAGCGTCATTATTGTATATATATTGAACTATAGTTTTCGAAAGTTTTATCACTTTTTGTTTATAATTGACATTTTTACAGCAACTTAAAAAAATTGGCGTTTTATACCGTTTTTTCAATCTCACGGCTTTGTTATTGCAAATTTCGTAATCGGACCACCGCCATTTTGTAGCTATTTTTATTACGAACAAAATCATGTCCTAAGCATTTTTTCGTACAAAGTCATCCCGCTGAGTTATTTAAAGAAAACTACTAAAAAAATTATTTTCACGATTAAATTGTTAATAACTTTTTTTCCTGATAAAATACTTTGTCAGCAAATTAGCCTGTTATTGTACTCATCATTTAAAGTAGACCTGTGCAGTTATTTCCGAGTTATCAAGAAAATGTCACTAACAGTAACTTTTCGGCCTCTGCCGACTGGAGTATTACTAATTGACCTGTTTCATCGATTTTTTAAAATTTGAACCGGAAAAAAATATGAATTTTGCTACATCATTTTGGGACACACTGTATATTGTATAGAGATTGATTCTGTAGTTGTGTGCCTCTGTCCGGACTCTGCTCATAACATAATTTTTTTCTCTGTATGATTCATTGCTTCGACAAGTCGTAAGAAAACATACCCAAGCACCTTTATTAAATTTACAAACACTAGTAAATTTTTGGTCATCATCATCGAAATCTGTGCCGCGAGGACTCACCGGAGATGAGCTGGAGCCACGCACAGACGTGGAAGACGGTGGTGGAGTGACAGAAGAAGAACAGGATCATGGCACAGATGGTCAGGAGGGCCGTGAGCACGGCCAGCGCGACGAACGCGGTGGCCGCCTGGAAGGCGTTCGTGGGGATGCTCATGAAGTCGTCCAGCCTCCCCTTGCACTCCTCTCCGTTCTCTTCCGCGTAGCAAACGGACCACAGCCCGAACTTTCCCGGATTCTCACTGTCTATGTCGCCTATCCACTCGGGGGTCACGAAGGAGACCACCCCGATGATGGCGTAGCATATCGTGAAGATGGCCCACAGCACGCCGATGGCTTTTGAGTTGCGGACGTAGCTCGTCGCGTAGATCTGGGACGAGTCCACGTACTCTATCTTGGAACCCATTTCTCGAGAGAGCGTTACACTGGCATAGCGTGAAGGCGGCGGATGTTGTACTCGACGCGGCGTTCGGCGGACTGTGTGATGGTCTACCTGGCTGCACCTGGGCTACATCGAGGCTGAACCCCACTCGTTTTGTGTACATGGTGATCCGCAGGCATTGTGGTAGTAGGAGACAGTAATACATAGGATGTTTCCTGAGTACGGTACTTACGTAACTTCAGAACACAATTCCTTATCGTATTTAAAGAAAAAAAGTTCCTATAAATATGCGGCCGGAAACAACAAATCTATTTCAAATATTAATATATGTTCTTCTTAAGTTTTCAACACCCTGTATCTTGGAATCTAATCTAAGCGTTTCTGGCCACATGTTTATAGGAACTGCAGCAATGTAACATATTTTACCTGTGTATGAAGCGTTTATTATTTTGTATTTTCAAAAATGTAAAAATGCAATGGTTTTATCTGTTTGGGCAAATCAAAATAGAACAAGACTTTCATAATGTTTTTTCAACTAATTATGAAAGTTTAAACAAACTAGAACGTTGTGCAAGAAATAAATTTTAGTACTTTAAGATCCATAAGACTATAAACTATTATTTGTTATTGAACCATTCTTAAGAAGTTCTTACCTTAGCGATAGGCAACCACCAATCTACTATTTCGTTTTAGAGGTTGCTTACGATTTTTGTAAACATAGGCATGCGCAGACGATATATTCTTATTATTGAAATATCTTGGGAAGTTTGCCAAAAATAAGCTTGCGGCTCGTGAAACTTTCATTGCCATGTGCTTCTTTGGTGGTTGTAAAAAGCGGTGTTCTAGTTGTTCCATATGGAAGTGTACAGACGTACATTGTGATACTCATATACTGTCCAGTGCGTCGCGGATACGAACATTATAACTCGATTCAGTGCTGCCTTTACTTTCATTCTGTTACTTGCTATGGCTTCAAGAAGGACTAGAATTAAAGGGATAGCTAATATCCCCCAACGGAGGAAAAACGTGTCTGAAGAAAAAACTGAGGAAAGTGATAACCTCGTTAACGAACAGGATAACGAAAAACAACCTTCTCCAAGTCCGGTGGATAAATCAGAGCAATTATTAACTGGTGCCCCTGCAGAATCTAATAAAGAACCAGATTCTAATGTTCCGCAAGAGATAGGAGTCTCAAAGGATTTCGATGCAGTTGTCCATTCTAATAGCGGTGATGCAACTGTGCCAAATCCTGCTGAGAGTCAAACTTCTCCAGCGGTGGAAAATAATGTTGTGCCACAAATTGTTCAACCACCAAAACCTCTTTTAAAGCGTAGAACCTTCATAAAACCACAAGTATCGGCTAGTGTTATCAATAGAAAACCGAAACAAAATGTAGAAAAAGATCATACAGAGACAAGTGTAGAAAAGAGTTGTCTTGAGACAGATAAAATTGAAACTTCAGATACAGCTACTCAACAGGGCCCCGTAGAAAATGGTTTAAAGGAAAAGCAATTTATTTCAAAGGGAGTGTCCAATGTTGCACGAGAAGTTACCTTAGACGAAGTACATTTAACTCCACAGATCGGGACACCACATCAAGAAGTGGAATCTTCAGGTAATTATAAAATAAAAATTTTGAATTTTCAGAATGATGAAATCGAGAATAAATCAGTTGATGAATTGAATTAAATCTTTACACAACTTTTTATTGATTGCACCATCTGACATGAAATTTAATCACTTTAGATAAGGGTGTGAAGAAGATTGTGCCTCAAACAAGCAACACCCCTAACTCTGACACAGAGTACCCCCCTCCACCACCCAGCCCTAGCAAAATCAATCGTTCCAGAATAAAGGCAATACCTCGATTGGGTTATCGTAAAACTAGTCTTAGCGCTAGCGAGTCGGAAGACGAAAGTAAGAGGAACTACAATAGAAACAGGAATGACTCTGTGAGTATTTTTTCTCTTGTATAATAGTCCCTTTTTCGAAATACGGAAAGTGTTATGTTACGTGAAATGATATAATATTGTACTAAATCCGTCTAAAGAATTTCTTTTGGCCTTGATAGGGAAATATTTTAAGTTAAAGTGCCAGATATTAAATTGTAAACATCTCCAAAGATTAAATACCGCGAATTTGGTTGAATTTCTCACATTTATAATTTAAATAATTAATTAAAAAATTTAATAAGCACGTAGGTATATTTTTTAATAACAAAATTCGAGCAAGTCTGGACTTGCTTATCAAAAAATGACTAATTGGTTAGTCATTATTGCAAGTTATTAAATTTTGACCTTTTTAATAACACGGTATTTTTTGTAATATATAAAAATAATTTTTTAGATGTGATATTCAAATAAAAAATATTTTCACACACAATCCGTTTATTTTTAATAACTTTCTCCAGAGATTGATAAAATACGTAGTTTATTCTTAAAAGCAATGCAGTAAATAGATGAATTATTCCTTATCAAAAATTAATATGTGGTTATCTGCAACTCTGTGGTTTATTTTTTTATGATTATTGGATAGTTCGAATATCTTCTATAAAAGTGGATTATATTATATGATATAGACTTATAGTGTTATAAAATAAAATTATTTACAATTCATATCTAAAGAAATGTACGTTTCTACTAAATTGTATTCCATACACCTTAGAATTGAATATGAAGCGTTAAAATAAGCTTTTTTTTATTTAAATCCAGTCTCGTTTAAAGTTGCGTGCACTAGACCATGAATAATCTTTTTAGATTGTAATCTGCAGTAATAAATTAATTTTTTTTTAACAAAATTTCTGTAATAATATACTGGAATCGGTTAAATGCACAACTACAACAAAGGTTTCTTGTATTTAACAAAGAAATAGATAAAAAGAAATGAAGTAGTTACTGGGTCGATTTTCGAGAAAAATTGAACAGTCAACGCTATCTTGATTCGTTTAAGAGGTACAAAGTGTTAATTTTTTTCAGTATTTCGCTTGTTTTTGTGACGTCAAATGACAATTTTCTTTTTTTGTAAAGAATTTTTTAAATCGGTTTTTTATGTAGAAGATGCAACCTAAAACCATATGCCATATATTTAAACATAATTGCTACTTTATACCTACTGACATAGAGTGACCTACCAATCTGCTAAATAATTCGTAGGTCGAAAAAAAATACTGAAACCGGTCTGTGTCTGATGACACTCCTTATAAATTGGTATAAAAATATTGTGTATTGCTGGATTTTATGCAATCAAAAAATTTTTTCAGGAAAATCAGAAATGTTATTCAATGTTAATAAATCAAAATAATTTCATTTAAGAATCAAAATAACAAGATCGGGTTTTCAGTACCAACTGTTTTTTTCTATTTTTCTGGGGAATACAAGAAATTTTGAGTTTAAATTTGATATTTTCGGCTCAAAACAGAAAATAGCAAGTTCGAAATGAAATTTAGATCTTAAGCATACAATTTCGAGTTTGAAACACAAAATTGTTTGTTTAAATCTGAAATTTTGCGTTGGAAACATGAAATTTTCAGTTTTAAGAGGCTCCATAGCAAATAGGCAGCCAGCAATACATTTTTATAGATTTTATTACACAGTTTGTCTAAATATGAATTAATGCACAAATTGCAGACTTTCCTCCATTCTAACACAGATTTTCTATAAAATAGAGTTAGTTTAAAACTCAAATTACTTTTTGTTGTACAGAAATTTGTAATTTTCCGCTTTTGAACAAGCGTTCCACGTGACCGCAACTGGCAACCAAACTTACACTGGACGCAATGATTAACACAAAATTCCCTAAAGTCGGAGGATAGTTCAGTGGAGTACATGTTTCTTTACAAACATTGAACTTTAATCTGCAAAGTTTGTTTCTTTTTTCGACAGAAGAAAATCATTTTTCTTACAAAATAATCATACTCCGGGTTCAGCTCCCTGGTCTGCCCCAAGGTCACACGCATAATGAAAGATGTGTATAAATATGTTTATATGACCTTTTTTTATTAAAAATATATGTATCTGGTATAGACGAATTTTTATTTAGAAGTATGTACTGAAATAAATTAAAAAAGAAAACAAATAAGTAATAAAAATAAAATAAATTAATAAAATGGAAAGAACCGTTTGAATTTGAAATTTCGAGATTGATATTAAAAAATTCCAGTTTGAACATGAAATTTCAAGTTTTAACACAAAATTTTGTTTCTGAATTTGAAATTTCGAGTTTGATATCCAAAATTTTCAGTTTGAACATGAAAATTCAAGATTGAACACATTTTGTGAGTTCGAAATTTTAAGTTTGAACTAGAAAATTTTGAGTAAATTTGAAATTTATGGGTCGAATTTGAAATTTTTATTCAATTTGAATTTGAAATTATATTGAATGCTTACAATGTTAACAACACAATTTTTGTTTAAGTTCAAATATCAAAAAATTCTAACTGAAAAACTGGAAGTTATAGAAAAATATTGTATCCATCTGCCTGGATTTTTTGCAAAAAAAAATTGAAAACGTCCACAAAAATCAAAATTGTTGATGTTAGTTATTCAGCATTACAAAAAAGAGATTTTAAAAAAGATAATAAAAACAATTACCACGTCATATTTTTTGTCACAATTGTTTTTATCCTCTGTTGTCACTCTCTATAGGTTTGTTCCACTGCATCAGGTATTCCAGAATCCATCACGGATTGCTTCTCCCCGCAGAGACCTAAGGACTTTAATTCCATGCTGCAGAAAAAGGGCAACCGTACGGAGCAGTCGCGGAAGCTCGCCGAAGCTCGTCGAGATTTCCAGAGACGTTTCGGGGCCAGCAAGCCTGACAGACAGAAGCTCACCATGATCGATCTTATTTTCTACAATCCCGAGTCAAATCCTATGACGTAAGTTATAACATTTTTTTGGTAGTTTCGTCTTTCAAACTCTAAGATTGAATGACGAAATTTTGAGTTTGAATTTGAAATTTCAAGTTTAAAATACGAAATTTTGAGATTAAATTTGAAATTTTAAGTTCGAACCGTCAATTTTTGAGTTTGAAACAAATTTTAAATGTGAAATTTTGCTTTTGAATATGAAATTTTGTGTTGAAACATGGAATTTTGAGTTTGGAACACAAAATCGCCAGCTAAGACATGAAATTTCGAGTCGATTTTTAAATTTTGTCGCAAAATTGAAAAAAAAAAATCATTTAAACCAGTAATATATCATTTTTTTTACTTACGGTTGAAAAACTAAACGCGTACTTATAAATTTTAAACAGGAACGAAGCGAAGCCTAAACCGGAGACACAAGAAGTGGAAGTGACGGAAACGAACGAGGTTGAGGTGGAAAGCGAGAAAGTGGACGATCCGCTACAAATGGAGGAGGAAGAGCCGAGAAAAAGCGACGAAGAAAACGAAGTGCCCGCACCGCAGATAAAAATCGGTCCGACAGGCGAGATAATCCTCGACGAGAAGAGCCTCGTCATCGAGAGCAAAGAAGTGCAAAAACAGAGAGAGGAACTACAGAAGACTAAGCTCGTCGACGGCGATTTCGACACGGGCTACGGTATCTACAAGAGGCAGAAGAGAACGAAGGAGTGGACGCAGGGCGAAACCCTACGGTTCTACAAGGCCCTGAACACCATCGGCACGGACTTCACGCTCATGTGCGAGCTGTTCCCGAGAAGGACCAGGCGGGAGCTTAAGCAGAAGTTCAAGAAGGAGGAGAGGATCAACCGGGGCCTGATTGACAAGGCCGTGATGCAGCCGTGTAATTTCGACTACACTGAACTGAAGCACGAAGTGGAGATGGAGGAGAGGGAATTGGAGGAATTGAGGAAGCAGAAGGAGGACGAGGTTAGGCTGAGGCAGGAGAAGATGGAGCAGAGGCAGTTGAAAAAGAGGAAAGGTAAGTTTTATGTACAGGCACGGGCAAATAAAAGGTTTGCAACATAAAATGTTTAAAGAATAGAATAATAAAAATTGTACATCTCCTTTTGAAATTTTATTAATTTGAAATATGAAATTTAGTTTCAAAAATTAACAATTTGAACATAAAATTTGGAGTATATTTGAAATTTAGTTTTAATTTGAAATTACAATTTTAAAACATTAACTGAATTTGAAACACAAAATTGACAGTTTGAACAAGAAATTTAGAGTTTGAAACGTGAAATTTGGAGTTTGAAATATGAAACTTGGGGTTTGAATTTAAAATTTAGAGCCTGAAACACGAACTTTTGAGTTTGAAAATTTAGAATTTGAACATAAAATAAGGAGTTTGTTTTGAAATGGAGTTTTAATTTGAAATTGCGAGTTTAAAACATGAAATTTTGAATTTGAAATGCAAAATTGCCAATTTGAACAAGAAATTTAGAGTTTAAAACATCAGATTTAGAGTTTTAAACATCAAATTTAGAGTTGGAAACATGAAATTTGGAGTTTGAAACATAAATTTCAGTTTAAACATAAAATTTCATATTCAAAATTTTCAGTTTGATTTTAAAATTTAGAACCTGAAACACGAAATCTTGAGCTTGGATCACGATATTAGCAGTTTAAATACAAAATTATGACCTTCAAATAAAAATTTCGAGTTTGAAAATTTAGAATTTGAACATAAAATATGAAGTTTTATTTGAAATTGAGTTTTAATTTGAAATTATGAGTTTAAAATATGAAATTTTGAATTTGATACACAAAATTGTCAGTTTAAACAAGAAATTTAGAGTTTGAAACAGCAAATTTAGAATTTGAAACATCAGATTTACAATTTCAAACATGAAATTTGGAGTTCGAACATAAAATTTCAAGTTTATTTTCAAAATTTTCAGATTAAATTAAAAACTTATAGCCTGAAACACGAAATTTAGAGATTGGATCATAAAATTATGAACACAAAATTATGACCTTCAAATCGAAATTTTTAGTTTGAAAATTTAGAATTTTAACATAAAAAATGGAGTTTTATTTGAAATTGAGTTTTAATTTGAAATTATGAGTTTAAAATATGAAAATTTGAATTTGAAACACAAAATTGCCAGTTTAAACAAGAAATTTAGTGTTTGAAAAATCAAATAGAGTTTGAAACATCAAATTTAGAGTTTGAAACAGCAAATTTAGAGTTTCAAACAGCAAATTTAGAGTTTCAAACAGCAAATTTAGAGTTTCAAACATCAAATTTAGAGTTTGAAACAGCAAATTAAGAGTTTCAAACATCAATTTTAAAGTTTGAAACAGGAAATTTGGAGTTTGAAACATAATTTCCAGTTTAAACATAAAATTTCATATTCTGAATTTTCAGTTTGAATTTAAAATTTAGAACCTGAAACACGAAATTTTGAGCTTGTATCATGATATTAGCAGTTTAAACACAAAATTGTGACCTACAAATCGATATTTCGAGTTTGAAAATTTAGAATTTGAACAAAGGTTATGGAGTTTTTGAAATTATTAGAAATTGAGTTTTAATTTGAAATTATGAATATGAAATTTTGGATTTGAAACACAAAATTGCCACTTTAAGCAAGAAATTTATAGTTTGAAACATCAAATTTACAGTTTGAAACATGAAATTTGGAGTTTAAGAGATAATTTCCATTGTAAACATGAAATTTGGAGTTTAAACATTTCAAGTTCATATTCAAAATTTTCAGATTAAATTTAAAATTTATAGCCTGAAACACGAAATTTGGAAGTTGGATTATGAAATTAGCAGTTTAAATTATAACCTTCAAATCGAAATTTTGAGTTTGAATTTGAAATATCGGGTTGATCACAAAATTTCAAGTTTGAAATCAAAACTTTTAGATTGAATTTGAAATAATTAGCTAACATTTCCAGTTTGAACACAAAATTTTATGTTTGAATTTGAAAATTAAAATTTGCAATGCGAAATTTTAAGTTTAAAATTTCAAATTTAGAAGAAATTTTGTGCCACAAAGTGGAAATTTTAAATTTGAAATGAAAATTTGTAGGATGAACTCTAAAAATTTTTAATCTGCTTTCATGTAGTCCTTTTTTTTAATTATTAATTTACTACCAACAGTATTAAAATTGAATTAAGTAAAAAATGCTAAAGGAATTTGTACCGTTATCGTTCCGTTTGTATTTTTTGGACACTTTGTAAAACGGGGAACATTTTTCAGCCATGGAAAAGGCAGAAATGGAGAAAAATTCCACCGAACCACCGCCACAACCCAAACCCGCCAAAATACGCAAGGTACGAAAACCCCGCACAAAGAAACTCAACATAGAGAGCGTCCTAGAAGACAGCGACGCCGACGTGTCCGACATCGCCACCCAAAGCGAATCCGAAGGAGAAATCTCCATTCCCCAGAAACCGACGAGATCCGGCAGGGTCCCCAAAGTCATAAAGAAATTCGACACCACCGAAGAATCCACCGTAGAGAACGTCATGAGGAAGAGCAAGGTGACCAACGCGGCCCCCAACAACATAGAACCGGGCTCCATCATGATAATCACGGAGACGGGGCCCAACGGCGAGCCGGTGCACAAGATTTTCATGGTCACGGCCGACAACAACACCACGCCCTTGAAACTTGACTCGGAGGTCGTCTCCAAGGCCATCCAGTTCAAGAAGGGGGTGAAGGCGCAGAACATCCTGACGATAAAGGAGAATGTGACCGACGACGAAGGGGAGAATTCCCAGATGGAGAATAACATGACGATACCTGCGGACGAAAACGTCACGACTCTAAGGGGGGAGGGAGGCGCGTACAACGGGCACGTCGAGAGGATGGTCGATGAGACTCTCGCTGACGGCAGGCCTATAGAGGAGGCGAATGTGGATTGCGGGTATTCGTAAGTGTCCACGACTGCTTGTGATCGTTAGAGGAGGTAAGCGACGCTTTTTATAAATTTATTCATTTGAGGAAAAGTTAAAAAAATTTTATACGGGCTGATTCAGTACGAAGAATGTAGGGGAGTATTTCCACAAATCCTTAGTTTACGATATACAGGGTGGCATAAAACTATAGGGACCCCGAAAAATCTCGCGAGATATGCATTTTCCGGAAAAACCAAATATTTGACCGCGGAAATGGAAAGAGTGGAAAATTTTACGTTTAAATATGACCTTGACCATTTAAAAAATTTCAAAATGGCGGCGAAGTCAAGATGGCGGACAAAATTTTTGAAAGTTAACCGATTGTCACCAAATTTTGTTTACGGAGGCTTTCGAGGTCGCTGATCACGAATCTGTCAGATTTTCAAAATTCAAGATGGCGGGTCCAAGATGGTGGATGGGGCTTTTTAAATTTAATCAATGGGGACCAAATTTGATATACGGAGTTTTTGGGGGTCACTGACCCCACATTCGTGATCAGCAACCCCAAAAACGGCCATATACCATCTTTGATGCAAATCAACTCATTTTCAAAAAATTCGTCCGCCATCTTGAATTTTGAAAATTTGACCTCGGATTCGTGATCAGCGACCCCAAAAATTCCCGCATGCAACGTTTGATGCAAATTGGTTGATTTTCGAAATATTCGTCCGCCATATTGTATCCGCCATTTTGATTTTTTAAATTCGACCTCAGATTCGTGATCGGCGACTTCGAAAACCTCTGTATACAAAATTTGGTGACGATCGATTAACTTTCAAAAATTTCGTCCGCCATCTTGATTCCGCCGCCATTTTGAAATATTTGAAATGGTCAAGGTCATATCTGTATGTAAAATTTTCCACTCTTTCCATTTTCGGGGTCAAATATTTGGTTTTGGTTTTAAAATTTTTCGCCTTAAATAGTTAATTTTAAAATATGGTGTGCATTTAAGAGGGCTCTACAGCAGATAGGCAACCAGCAATACATTTTTATAGATTTTATTACACAGTTTGTCTAAATATGAATCAATGCACAAATAACAGACTTTCCCCCATTTTAACGCAAATTTTCTATAAAATGTACTTAATTTGAAATGCAAATAACTTTTTGGTGTAAAGAAATTTGTAATTTACGATGCCGCTTGTACAAAGGCGGCAAATTACAAATTTCTTTACAACAAAAAGTAATTTGAGTTTCAAATTAAGTACATCTTATAGAAAATTTGCGTTAAAATGGGGGAAAGTCTGTTATTTGTGGATTAATTCACATTTAGACAAACTGTGTAATACAATCAATAAAAATGTATTATTGGTTGCCTATTTGCTATAGTCCTCTTAACTCTTCATCAGTCAATATCTCTGAAACGGTTGGTCTGAGCGATTTCGACCAAGTGTACCTTTTTGCTTAAAATTTACAGGGGAATAATCGCACTAATATGAAACGTCAATATACAGGGTAGCAAAAAAGTTAGGGCCAATTTAATTCAAGCGTACCCTTATAAGTGTGCTGTCTACCAGTAGCGTCATTAGCAATGACATATTTAAATTTAGCTTCCTAAGAAACCCCCATACCCCAAGTTTTTTGCCTTCATTCAAATCTGGATATTCCTAAAAAATCGAAAACAGTAAAAAATTTTAACACCTTGTATATCCAAAACTAAGCATTTGTGGTCCTCTTTTATAGAGGAAAAAAAGTCTTATTTTGATCACAAAGATACGCCCCTAAATACTTTATACTTAATTTTGAATCAGCCTGCACGTATTATAATATAGGTCTGCAAACGCCTCATCGCGCCTAAAATTTTATTATCTTTTTATAGTTGTTTTCATTTATTTTGTTTTTTTTTGAGACCATTCAAATTTTTTTAGGAACTATCGTACGATTTAGGGTTCTCGTACAATCTATTCATTGATGGTGGTAAGGCCATTTATCTATAGCAATCACTGCACCAGATCGACTTAAGACAAGTTGAACCTATCGGAACATTAAGCGAAATGAACAGCACATTTCAATTTTGTTGTAGAGAATCACAAAATTTTTTTATCGGATTAGGAAATAAATAACTGGTTTGATTTATTTACGTTTCTACCGACTACTTTTTTCTATCCTAATATTTAATAAAAGTAGTGGTGGTTTGGGTTTTTAACATATAATTTTGGTGTACGTTTATAATAGTGATGGACTGATATATTATTGTACGGAGAACGTTACCAAAATGCTGACGTAGCATCACAATTGTCTGTTTCAATGGTATTCATGAAAATATGACGTGTTCACACTTTACCTTCTGTATATCAAAACCAAGGCATTTGTAGGACCGTACAATTTAGTTGCTGGTTAATTTATACATTTTTTCTTTGCAGGTAGCGGCGAATATTTTGCAGACTGAATCGCTAACTCGTATTTAAGCAAATTAATTTATAGCTACAATGAAATAAGTTATTTTGTAAACTGTATACTCGTATTTAAAATATTTATACAAAAATATTGGAAATGGATAAATCACTATTAAATAAATATTTTGCCTGATCGTTTACTTAATTTTTTGTTGAAACCTAAAAATTTACCTCCCTTGCTTACTTGAAGATTTTAGTCATAATTCACGAGATTGACGACTGACATTTATTAAAAAAAATGATATAATTTAACTTTCGTTACACATACATCTAACTGTAATTGGAAAAAACACTAAGAATTAATCAAAACACACAGTAACGAAGCGTTAACGTCATGAGACTTCCAACATTTCACAAGGCAGCCACTTAGAACTCTCCAAAGCGTCCCATAAGTTGCAGTCTTGGTCGATTTTCTCCCTGTTCATCTTGTCCACGTCTAACGGTATCGAATGATCTGAAAAATTACTTATGTGAAAATTATTTAAAAAAAAAAACGTATATTCGTTACCGATCAGATCCAAATCATCTCCATCTTTCTTCACGTCCATCACGCTCATCGCGTGAACGCTCTCTATATGACCGGTACTGTCGGACTGATCGTAATAGCCTTGCTGCAAAAAAAATTAATTACTGGATTTTAATAAATGAAATTTCGATATTTACCGTTTGCCAAGAAGCGTAATTCTGCCAGTAAGTCGAAGGGTCATAGTACTGGCTGTAGTCTGTGCCGTTAGAAGACTGAGTAGTCGCAGTGCCCGTCGTCGAGCCAGTCGTAAGAGCACCTTTCGGTTTTGGTACGGCGTTACAAATCTTCAAAGCTTTCGTGCCTAATCCGATGTAACCGTTCATCGAAACCAGGCTGTCTTTCATCTCTTCCTCACTACCGAATCTCACGAACCCGTAACCCTTACTAAACCCACTATTATCCAGAATAACTAAAAAAAAAAAAAATTATAAATTATTTCGTTTTAATACAAACAACTTTTACCTTTGGCAGTTTTGATTGTGTTGTATTTAGAGGAGAAGACCCTGTACAAATTGTAATCGTCAACATCGGGACTCAGATCTCCTACCCACACGGAAAATTCTCTGTCAACTAGTGAACGTCCAGTATTGCTGGCATTATTCAATCTGAATCTGACCATAGGCGAGGTGCCGGGAATAGGCTTTGAATTGAGCTTATGCATTGCATCTATTGCTTCTTCATCAGTAGCAAAATGTACAAAGCAGTAACCAGCAGGTTCGCCTGTGAACTTGTTCCTCATCACTTTAACGTTTAAAGGATTTTCTCCCATTTTACGAAATGCTGATAGTATGAATGTTTCTGTCATGTAGGGCTCCAACTAAAAAAAATATGGTTTAGGTGTTTTATTTCTTTCGACTGTTAGTACTTACACTGCCCATCCACAGCTGGCAATGCACCATGTTAGTCATTTTTGCTGATAAATATGAAAATCTTTGGATTACAAAATGTGACTTTAAACTGCTATATTTTCAATAAAAACAAGCTTTTCTGTCAATTGTCAAATAAATGTCAAATTCAATTGAAATTGAACAGGGGTACGTTCCGCATTTTATTATAAAATTGTGCCCTGACGCCCTGACCAAATAATATTAATAATTTCTAACTTCACGTCAATTACACAATTTGCCAATATTAAATTATTAAATTTCCATAGTTATAATATGGTTACAACTCAAAGACGTTTTTAAAACTCTAGATAATATTAGGTATGTGGATAATATACTGAAGTTAAAATAAAACTGATGGACATAAAATTTACAATTTTCTTATTCCTATTGGAATTTTTATGAATGGATAAATAAACCCCTCCAAGCATAGCTAAATATTGTAAATTATTTAATATACACTAATATTAAATTCCTATAAAATATCAAATAATAAATTATTTGAGATATAATTGTATTTTAAATATTTTTCAGGATTTTATTTATACAATCAGCAAATAAAAACATTTTATCAGCCCATGCTAATGATTTTGAAATGGCTGTATTATACCTACCTGTTTATTTATTTATTTTTCGAGGTATTGACGAATTCTATGTGCATTTCCAATTTTTCGTCAAAAAAAATCCTACCTATAAACAAATACCTACGTCACATTTAAAAATATTTATATATACCGATTTATCAAAATGCAAATGGTATCGTTATTGGTGTAGTTTAAGAAATAAATGAAACCAGTTCCCATTAAATTCTGAGAATATGACTAAGTGATAATGGGAATTTTAAATTAAATGATTTGAATCGTGACGCCAAAATGTAAATCCGAAGAGATGACATCATTCGTGAAGGAAATCACGACGCCAATACCGTGAGAGGAAAAGAGACAGCCAACAGCGTCACACATGCGTAGTTCACTGCATTGTGTCTTTTCTCCCTTCTCTATGGTCAATGACAAGTCAACACGAACGAAGTTTTGTCGGGTTTGTTTATCTTTCTTGAAAATAAATTTCTGTCGAGATAGTTTGCAGCGGGCCTTGGTAGTGTTTTAGTGCAATAAGTCATCTACAAACGCTGCAAAAGCTGCTGGATGTTTTGTTGCTGTTCTAATCAAGAGGACTACGGAAAAGGTGGGATTTGCATGATAGTTATCTTACCTTCCCCGCTCTCATTCCATGATTTAATGTCCGCCATCTTTAGTTGGTAGTTGAATAGGCGTTAACTTGTGTGTTTTGGCAGGTCCGATGGCTGCGATTAGAAAAAAGCTGGTGATTGTTGGTGATGGGGCCTGCGGAAAAACGTGCCTCTTAATCGTGTTTAGTAAAGATCAGTTCCCCGAAGTGTACGTGCCCACCGTCTTCGAGAATTATGTGGCGGACATAGAAGTGGACGGTAAGCAAGTCGAGCTCGCATTATGGGATACCGCAGGACAGGAGGATTACGACCGTCTGAGGCCCCTCTCCTACCCGGACACGGATGTGATCCTAATGTGCTTCTCGGTGGACTCGCCAGACTCCCTGGAGAACATCCCCGAGAAATGGACTCCAGAGGTCAAACACTTTTGTCCAAATGTGCCAATTATCTTGGTAGGTAACAAAAAGGATCTCCGCAACGATCCCAATACCATTAGTGAACTTAAAAAGATGAAACAGGAGCCTGTCAAGCCGCAAGACGGTCGGTCCATGGCTGAGAAAATCAATGCTTTCGCTTACTTGGAGTGTTCAGCTAAGAGCAAGGAGGGTGTACGAGAAGTGTTTGAGAACGCCACGCGTGCCGCACTGCAGGTGAAAAAGAAGAAGAAGCACCGCTGCGTCATGTTCTGAGCCACCAATACTATATATTTTATATTATTAATAATAATCGTTACGTGTGTTTATTAATTTCAAGGGGGCTTCTGCATGATGTATCGACTAACAAAATAAACCCCTTATTTTCTCTTTACTCCTGTTTTGTTTAAAATCCTCTCCCATCTGTGGATGACACGTTGCTCTTAGGTTATATTTTTATATGTAACATTATAATCGTATCTCTATCTATCATGTATACAGAAATGGTGGTAAATCTAAGTGTCCAGTGCACAAACTCTTGTTCAGAAGTTCACTTAACAGTATCCTTAGTTTGTAGATTGTTTTCAAAATTATCTTTTAGTATTATGCATTTTTGTGTTTAACAATGTTTGTATCGCCCGAGATCCGTTGACTTTCCACACAAAAGTTAACGCTTGTAAATTTGAGGATAATTTTCCGTTTTACGTATTCTCAGAACTAATTTTATTCGTGGGCAACTCATCTTAGTATATTGTATGCGGGTTGCCTCTAATTGTAATAGCTTTAACTTTTTCCATATATTGTATCCTAAAAGTAAATAAAATTGTTTTCCTATATGTGGTGTTCTGAATGACGATTTGCAAACGGTGATAAGATCAGTTTCTTGGAACCGCCGTAATCTTGCTGATAAACGATCTTTGTTTGTTTTAAATGAGGAGAGATGAAAAGGAAGGTATGGGTAGGTAAGGTGCTGATTCACAGTGAATGAATTGAAGATTAAAATTCCAAACATTTTGCTCATAACAGGTTGTCTGCATATCTGTAATAAAACGACTTTTTGCTCTTATTGCCGACCAAGCTTGTGGGTAAACTGTAGATAACAGAGTAAATTTCTCTGATTATGAAGTATAAAAAAGTTTAACAACTGGTGCTAAAAGTAAATCCTTTAATGCCCGTATATTAGATTAAAAATTATATGTAAAACAGGTTAAAATTGTAAGGAAATTTACCTCTGAATCTTTTTCTATAATCAATCACGTCAGATGACGTAATGTTAGTAGAAAACTACTTAAAAATGTATTTACATTTATTGGAACAATTGTTACTGTTTTTTTTTATTACTCGCGAAGTTGTGTAAACAATTTGTAGAATTAATTATAACAGACAAATACACAATACATGAAGTGCTTAAAGAAAAAAAATTATTCTGAAAATTTATTTACTTAACTGATACCACGTGCTAATTTAGAAAGGCATTTTAGTATTTCTTTACATAAAAAAAAACACGTCCTTGTTTATAATAATAACTGTTTAGGCCATATTTAATAAATTTAAATATTAATTATTTCTTGAGTTACTTTTGGAATACAGAGGCCTTGTAAAATTTTAAAACAAAATGTTCCTCCTTTTATTTCATACAGTTACTGTACTGGCGTTTCAATCAAATTTACACTTTATTTAACAAAGCACTGTAGGATTCACACATTAATAATAGGAGAGTCTTTGTTTAGAATTTTATGACACAAAAAAGTTGTTATTAAGGGTGGTGGAATTTTTTGGAATATCTACAAAAATATATTATATGAATATCCCGCTTAAAACAACAATAAACATTTGTATTGGTTCAAGCATATGACGTCAAACGTTGATGGAAATCGAAACTCGGTCACAGAATAATACAGAATCGCAACTCTTACCGAAATCCATTGTACTCTTGAAATTACATTCAAGCCATATTTTGAACGCAATACCCAAAGCAAGAAACACGTCCAAAAACACGATCTAACTCATCGACTGAATGTCATAATAGCTAGTCGCCGATATTTGTCTATATGTAATTTATACGATATTGTAACTTTTTTTGGATGCGCGACATCAATTTAGGCGACGTTATACTTTAATTTTGGGATATTATCTTACTATAGGGCAATAAAAGTAATATAAATAATGATTAATGTAATACTTGTCAGATCAGATATGGGCTGATCACTTTCCACAAATAGGTTTGTATTTTAGTATGGGAACGCGTCGTAAGGTGCGCTGATGATTTAGATTTTTAATAAATAAAATAGAAAACTGTGTAATTAGGTGGTTAGTTTACTCATGACAACGATCATGGAGACTACATAAGGAGCCCGAACTCCATGTAAACAAAAATCTTACAAAAATAAGAGGGCGCTAGTGTTCCATATGTCCCATATGTAGAGAGGGGAATAAAAAAGCGGCAGTTGCCACAGTTTGAATTATAAATCAATCATGTCATTTTTGTGATGTATTAAAAATTTTAAAATAAATAATGTAAGCTACTTTGAATTATATAAATCATGAAAATATGTCATTCCGGATTGTAATTAAACTAAATAGATAATAAAAAATATTAGCTCTATGAGAAGAATTTGGTGTTCGTAGAAAGAAACTAGTTTTCAAGGAATTTATGACGTGATCTTGTTAATATTAACCTATAAGTAAGGTTTATGTTTTTGATTATTACTTTGTTAAAGATTTTAGTTTAATGTTAGTAAAAAATAGTCACATTTTATACAGGAAGTTGCCTTTAAAGAAATAATAATTCTTGTATTATTAATATGGAACTTTTACTAGTGGTAATAAAAAATAGAATATAAAAAAACTCGGTGTTTTAAATAAACTTTTTAAAATATTACAGATGTCCGATTTTGAGTCCAGTGATTCAGATGACTTATTAGACGCATTGTCCAGCTTGAGAGTGATGATGAAATAGATTTATTCTAAGAAACAGAAAGAGTAAAAAATAAGAACTACTTTGAAATTACTGTGCCTGAATATAGTGGCCAAGTTTTTTTAACATTTACATGTACAACATTTTGCCCAATATGAATTTCCAGATATGTTATAGGAATAATTGATGGAAAAGGAATTCATATAAGATAGAGTATATCACAATCCATATTTTTTTGAAAACTGACTATGGAAAGTCGATAAATTATGGTTGGACAATTTCTAAGCTGATTGCCATGTTGTCGGTTTAGGCTTCTCGATGTTTCGAGAGTCATATCGCTCTCTTCTTCAGAAGAGATCTGGAACTTGTTTCTTTTGAAGGTCAGAATATGTCTCTCAAAATGTCAAGAAGCTTAAAACAACATGACAACCAATTGATACCAAAATTTTAACAAAATTTACTCCATTATAAAGGTCACAAAAAATAGGTAATCTAAATATTTGATACTTAACTGTTTAAAATCGATTAGTCGTCTGGGTATATATTTTAAAATTGCTGTAAAATTTAATTCTACTTTCGTAAAATTATTGATTTAATTCGAACGTAACATGGTTCCATGACTTATTCCAAGGTCCATTTTAGCAATGTTCTATATTTTTGTTATATAATTTAAAAAATAAAATGTTTATCTACCAAAGATTTCAATGTTTTATTAATTGAAGCAAAAAAACGAAATTATTTGTGCCTAATTAAAACAAAATAAATATTTATTCATAACAAAAAAGTAACAAAGTAAGTTACAAACAAAACAGGAACTCTTCTTAAAAATAAGTAATACTTGTCAGTCTATTTAGTAAAAGTAGTTAATTACCAATACAGATCGATCAGCATCGATTACTACACATATCCTCTCTTTAAATTTTATATATCTGAATTTCAACCAGTTTTTTACTAACAGGAAAGAAACAGCAACTAATTGGAAATGATTTATTCAATTCAGTAATGATAATAATGATGTCACCCGCAAGAATTATATGAAAGAAAGGAATTTAATTATTTATGCACGTAATATAAATTACAAGAATATGTAGAAATAAATAAAGTATACTTTGTTGCTATTGTCAATATTATGTGAACATATTCATCGTTGCTTTGTCGAGACCTCATCACACGTCAACAGAACTTTTCTTTTATTAGATTATACAGGACAGGATGCTCACTTTCTAGTAAAATCTCATCGTAACTTAATTGCTCTTGATTTACTTGCTGTGCTTGTTGTTGTTGTTGTAACTATTGCTCTTGTTGTAGCTGTTGATGCTGCTGCAAGATATATAAAGAAACAATGCATCATTCAATTATACAATATTTTCACTTATGAAATCTTTCTATTTAAAAATTTCTCTACCTTATTAAGAATCAAAGAAGCTGCCAACTTCCGAATTATTGGACCTTTTGCCATAATATTAACCCACTATTCGGTCAAGTTGTAATATAGAACTGCTGGACATCATTAGATTGAAAATGCAGATCATAAACGCACCGTTTTATTTTAAATCTGTTGACAGTCATTCACTTCACATACTATTACCATATTTAAATTATTTTCGAAACTTTTTATTTACTATTATAAAAACAAATTGTAATAATTACTGACTTGACTTCTAGTTTTTAGGTTAGCATACATCCCCGATAAATTATACTAAACTCAATAATCTCAATATAAAATAAAATTGGTTATTTGCTTACTTCACTCGTATTAATTATGCTACATTCATTTGGGTCATATGGAACACTAACGCCACCCCAACTTCTGCCATTTCTTGGACAAATTTTGTCAATTTTCCCGTATGAGTTCGTGCTCCTTATCTAGTCTCCCTGTCTACGACTTTTGTGTGGGGGGGATTATGTCATTGTCTGGCTCTCTGTCGACGCGTCGGGCCGCGCGCTCAGCCATTAACTCGAATTCCTCGTCTTCGTCGGGCAGCTGAGGCAGTCTACACTGCAGTTCCAGGCTATCGGCGAAAGCCTCGGCCTTTTC